AAATTCACATGCGACGTGACACATAAACAAGCGCAATGGCGTTCTAGGATTCATATAGCCGACCCCACTTAGAGGGAAAAGGCTTTGTTGTTGTCGTTGTATCGTAAATTCACATGCAACTTGGTTGGTTGCTTGAAATATATGTACACTAACTCAGCAATAATTTCTTATGACTATATCACAGCCGAAAATGGGTTGAGGGAGAGGTTTTGCGAGCTCTGGCTTATGATGTGCCAATTCCAGGATACAAAACCAAGAACACTATTAGTCTTCGTCTATGGGAAGCTAAAGCATCTGCTGAGGATTTTAACCTATTTCAATTTAATGATGGACAGTATGAATCTGCTGCGCAGCTTCATTCTCGAGCGCAACAGGTTGGTCATTAATATCCTAATGGCAAGGTAGTCTTGGAACCACTTCCCATTGTTCAAGTCTTCAATAGACATACAATCAAAAGCCTTTTGAATTTGTTATATGTACATATATATGTTTATATTACTGTGTATAATAATGTGTCTCCACCTCATCGTCATGTTTTAAATGTTTTCTTGAACCACGTTATGAAATTGTGCTTTTACAGATTTGTGCTGTTTTGTATCCTGGAGATGCCACAGAGGAGGGGAAACTTTTGAGGCTGAAGCAACAATTCTTCCTGTGCAGTGCATCACTTCAGGTCGGTTTATTATCATTTTAGCCTTCATTATTTTGTTGGTGTAAGCGTCACCATTTTTTTCTTTCTATTTTCTGTTCCAGATGACCATTTAATACTTCAAATTTAATTAAAGTTGAGAAGGTGAAAAGAATCTCACACATTTAGAGAAAATTTTCAGATTGACGTTTTCCCTCACAGTGGTGCTTGATTTCAGATTTCTTGTTTTTTTGTTTTTAAGATGAAAATTACATATCCAGTCTTCTCGTTAAGAGGCATTTTCAGTTTCTAGTTTGACATCCCGTCAAGATGTTGTGATCATCACTCTTAAAATCTTGAAATTACAGGATATTATTTGTAGATTCAAGGAGAGGAAGCAGGGGACAGACTCATTGCAATGGTCAGAATTTCCGAAAAAGGTTGCTGTCCAAATGAACGATACTCATCCTACGCTAGCAATCCCTGAGCTAATGCGATTGCTATTGGATGAGGAAGGGCTTGCGTGGGATGAGGCATGGGAAGTGACAACAAGGTGCATTCTATTTCATGTTCTTTTAGACTTTCTTGGTTGAAGTTGTTGCCGCACATTCTTGTTTCTTCCATGACTGCTCTCCACTTATTTGTAGTGCTTTTTGCACAAGGAGTTATAAAGTGCTAACTCGTAATAATTGAACCAGGACTGTTGCTTATACTAATCACACAGTCCTTCCTGAAGCACTTGAGAAATGGTCACAAACTGTAATGTGGAAGCTTCTCCCTCGCCATATGGATATAATAGAAGAAATTGACAAAAGAGTAATATTTCTCATCTTTTCTGCTTTGTGCTGTTTATGCTAAAATTGTCATCTCCTAATGTAAATTCTTGCATCCTGGCAGTTCATTGCTATGGTACGTGCTACACGAACTGATCTTGAGAGCAAAATTCCCAGCTTGTGCGTTTTGGATAACAATCCCAAAAAGCCTGTTGTGCGTATGGCAAATTTATGTGTGGTGTCTGCACATACGGTAAGACATCTATTTTGCGAAATTTACAAGTATCTCCTGTAGTTTATTCTGAGCTGTCTTCAACATAAACATATGGTAACCTGGTTATTAGAAATCTTCTTTCAATAAACTTCTATGAAAGGCAACTTATTCCCTTTTTCCCTAAGAAAAAGGGTTGGGAGGGCAAGCAAGAGATTGTGTGCAATAGTGAATACAGAGTCTATGACTCTAAGGTACGGTCCACCATGTACATTGGTGAGACTTGAACTCAAGCTTTTAACGAGGAGAAGCAAGTTCTTCCCAGGAAGACACCCATTGGCAGTCTGCGACTCTGCATAAGTGCATATTTTGACTATTCTATTTTATCTCAGAGTCCCATTTGTAGTAAAATCTAATGAGGCTTGAAAATAAATATTTTCTGCTTTCCTTTTGTTTTTTTCCTCCCACAATATAAGAACCCCTTATTTCCACATTTGAGCTGTTGAGTGTTGACGTCGAGAAACTCATTGCTTCTTGTGTCATTGTAGGTTAATGGTGTTGCCCAATTGCACAGTGATATTTTGAAGAATGAGTTATTTGTAGACTATGTCTCTATATGGCCAACAAAGTTCCAAAACAAAACAAATGGGATTACTCCTCGTCGGTGGCTTCGCTTTTGCAGTCCTGAGCTCAGTAACATTATAACCAAATGGTTAAAAACTGATGAATGGGTTACCAACCTGGACCTACTTGTAGGTCTTCGAAAGGTATGCATTTATGTTTTCAAACATATATATATATATATATATATATATATATATATATATATAGAATTGTTTGTCCTTGCCAGAGCGTTCCTGCAGTTGAATTATTAAAACTCAATGTGTTTTCTCCAACAGTTTGCCGATGATTCAAAATTACAAGAAGAATGGGCGTCTGCCAAGATGGCTAATAAGAAGCGTTTGGCACATTACATAGAGCACGTGGCAGGTGTCAAGATTGACCCAAACAGTTTATTTGACATACAAGTGAAGCGTATCCATGAATATAAGAGACAGTTGCTGAATATTCTGGGTGCAGTTTATCGGTATAAGAAGTTAAAGGTATAAAAAGCATATGAACCTGCATGCTCTTCCAACTTGATTTCTGTATGCATCTTTGTCAATTTCTTCGTAATGGTTTTGCACCCACTAATTACACTTCATAGAGTTTTATCCAATTCTTTGGAGGCAGGTTTTAAGGCTATAACACTAGTAAATTTCTGCATGGTTTTTGAGAACTTGCCTGTAACTGAACTGTCGCAGGAGATGAGCCCTGAAGAGCGGAAGAAGACAACTCCACGTACTATCATGATTGGAGGAAAAGCATTTGCAACATATACAAATGCAAAAAGAATAGTCAAGCTGGTAAACGATGTAGGTGCTGTGGTCAACAAGGATCCCGATGTCAATAGCTACTTGAAGGTTGGTTAATATTTTTAAGAGGTGCTTCATATCTCATATTTGCTTGCATTGGTTCCGGACGTCCTGTAAAGTTTCAGTCAGGAGTTGGGACCCTGGTTTGATTCTGACCTAATAACCATTAATTCTTCAGGTTGTATTTGTTCCAAATTACAATGTATCTGTTGCCGAGATACTTATCCCAGGAAGCGAGCTGTCACAACATATCAGCACTGCAGGCATGGAGGCAAGTGGCACAAGCAATATGAAATTTGCTCTGAACGGTTGCCTCATAATTGGAACATTGGATGGGGCAAATGTGGAAATCCGTGAGGAAATTGGGGAGGATAACTTTTTCCTCTTTGGTGCAACAGCAGATGAAGTCCCTAATCTGCGCAAGGACAGAGAGAACGGCCTGGTATGAGGCGTCATTTTCTCTTTATTATATTAGTGTCACTCAGATCAGTGTAAGTAGTATGGAAGCTCTGCACTCATTGTTCTTAGAGGTAGATGTCTTCTTATCTTCGTTAGAAAATGGTACTGACATCATGAAGCTTTAATTTCGGGAGAACTTGCCAAAGCCTGAGCAATATTAATATGAATTTCTTACATCTAGCTGAAAATTTAATTCATTTTTGTGCGTACTGGTAAACAAGCACAACTCTTCCTTATCTGACTTTTCCCCTTCTTGTAAATCATGCAGTTCAAACCAGATCCTCGGTTTGAAGAAGCCAAGCAGTTTGTTAGGAGTGGAGCATTTGGGAGCTACGATTATAATCCACTTCTTGACTCTCTGGAGGGGAACACCGGTTATGGTCGCGGTGATTATTTTCTTGTTGGCCATGACTTCGCACAGTATATGGATGCTCAGGCAAAAGTAGATGAAGCTTACAAGTAAGATGTCTAACCTCCTAACCTTTACAATATGGATTTCTTGAATTGCCAGTATCTACTCCGACTAGAAAAGAAGATCCGGAAGCATTTACCCACATGTTGGCTGTTGTCATGAATCACACTGCTTGAAATATGAGTCCCGTCGCCACAAGATAAGGATTTAGGAAAAGGTTTAGGGTTTAGGGAGAGTTGCTAATATAACCTATTTCCACTACCTTTGACACCTTTGTTCACCTGCAGGGATAGGAAAAGGTGGCTGAAGATGTCCATACTAAGCACTGCAGGGTCTGGCAAGTTCAGCAGTGACCGGACAATTGCTCAGTACGCCAAGGAAATCTGGAACATCGAGGAGTGCCGCGTGCCATAGATCCCTCCACGGTGCTGGTTCTAATGCTTATGTTAATGTTGTAATTATGAGACGAGAAGCTTAAGGTAGAGAATAAAAGAAGCCAACAGAAGTAGCAACCACCATACGTACCCTGTTTGTATTATTGTCCCTGAGATCTAACTGAAATACGCACAACGATCCAAAGACAAAAATAAACAAGTGTATGTAAGAAGAGAAATAATGCGTTTGGAAATCGTTTGGCCTATGATTGCATCACTGTTAGTTTCAAAGTTTCCTCGATTACCATGAAAGGGAAAAATATCATTGCTCCATTTGGTTATGTGGTGGTTGGGGACCAAACCAAATTACAGTAGTACTACAAGAACCGAGGAGTTTTCGTCCCAATTCCATCACGTAAACCTGTCCAAGACCGCGTCACATGAGAAAGTTGAGACGAGTTTGAGCAGCTCTTGAAACTCGTAAATGGGTTGGATTTTATAACTCGCTAGATTCTTTGTACGAGAAAATGGTTGCAACTAGCAATTTTCTACCTTGAACAAAACTATGAAAGAAACATCCATTTCTTCATTCACAATTCATAATAGCACGATAGCTCATGGATGTGAATGTTGTTAGTTTCGGATCTTTGCGGCCGAGTCTTCGCCACAAGATCACTCGCGAGGGCTCAACGTTTATGAAAGGTAGCGCCTTCAATTTATACATAAGGTCAAACCAAACATCAGACACTGAATAGTACTAGATAGTCATGAAACGTTTCACTAAAATGACAGACTGATCAACTCCTCAATATACAATAGTTGATCATCAGCTTATAGTACCCATCCCAAAATGCATGATAGACATTCCCCAAACCCCCCACCCATTGGTACCGACATCACGAAATCACCATCCCTACACAAAGCTAGACACATGCAAGTTAACATCCTTCACGATGAAGGTGAAGTAGACCTAGGGGTTGCGGATCTTGACATAAATCTGGAACTTGCATTCACACTCGGACTCCGGCTGCTTGAGTAGCTCCCCCTGGAAGAACCCCTGTGAGACTTTGAGCTCCTGCGTCTGGGAGATACGCTTCGAGAGTAACTCCTTGTTGACCGCTTCTTCACCGGTTCAGGTGATACACTAGGGGAATAACTCCTCCTGGAGGTCCTCCTAGGCCTGGGCAAAGGACTGGGGGAGTAACTCCTCCCCCTAGGTCCGGGTGAAACACTAGGTGAGTAGCTCCTGTAACTCCTCCTCCTATGCCTGGGAGAGACACTGGGGGTGTAGCTCCTCCTCCTCCTCCTAGGTGACACACTAGGAGAGACAGAACGATAGCGACGCCTCCTACCATAGTAAGAGTCATCTGGTGAATAGTCCCTGTAGCGGCGTCTCCTCCCATAGTAGGAGTCATCTGGTGAATAGGCCCTGTAGCGGTGTCTCCTTCCATAGTAAGAGTCATCTGGTGAATACTCCCTGGAGTCATACGGAGAGTAGTCCCGATCATGCCTTCTCACTGGTGACCTGCTGTAGGGGGAGCGAGACCGAGAGTAAGATCTACGCCGACTGTATTCAGGAGAGTATGACCTCCTCCTACGGTAGGGTGGAGAGGATGACCTGCTCCTGCTTTGGTCAGATGAATGAGGTGACCGGCTATAGCTCCTCCGATAAGGAGAGTAGGTAGGAGACCTACGAGGAGGTGAGTAGCTAGGGGTTCGTTGACGAACTACAACAAAATAAGAAACATTAGAGCCAGAAACAAGATATGTACATCTATGCAGATATGGTCTTTAAAATGAACTTACCATGAACTGTTCGCAGCCCAAGATACCTTCCTGGTGTGGGAGTTCTCCCTCTCCGCCTTCTAGCCTAAAATAGATGAAGACAGAATGAGAGCAGGGAAATGCCAATCAACGGGGATGCAACTATTGTAAATTGTTATCACTAACGTTGACTTCAGAAGACAAAATTATCAACGGGGCAATAGAAAATAATTGAAATAGCACAACATTCTAATATGTAAAGAAAGAGAGAAATGCAGGGCATACGACCCCAAAGATCTGATACTTGTTGAATTTGATTTGTTTGTTAAGTTGTGGTTTGGAATTCGTTGTAGAGCTGCTTCACACAGCTAAACCTGCTGCCACAAACACTTCAAGTGGAAAGAAGCAAACAACTTTCAAACTCAAATAACTCATAGCAAATCATCTTGAATCCATAAACATTGCCAAATGAAGTGTGGTATCAAATAACATAGACTAAAAGATGTCACAGTTGATCAATCATCGAAATGAAAAATTAAGGAACATTACCTTCTCCACTGTAATGACACGGCCTTCAAGTACAGATCCATCTAAGTACTTGATACAGCGCTCAGCCTCATCAACATTTTCCATTGTAACAAACCCAAATCCCCGAGATTCTCTTGTCCATGGATCAACCACGAGATGGACATCAGTGACCTGTAAACCAAAGGTACGGAAACTAAGAACACCACAGAAATAATAAATAACTTCCGAGTTACATAACAAATAATTAGGAAAGGGAAATCATACCTTTCCCTCAGCTGCAAAGTGCTTCTCTAGCTCTCTCTTTGTAACCCGAGGCGACAATCCAGTCACATACAAATTGTTCCCCGGGTTCTCCACAGACGGACTTCTGCAAAGCCAGCATCAAAATGCATACAATCAGAAACGTCCACAACATAAAAAATACCAATTAAAATTGTCCAAATGAGAAGCAACTTTGTTAAAGGCACAACCTTGACCTGTATCTCGACCTTGAAACAGACCTCGAAAGGGAACCACTGTATCGCTTCGGGGATGGAGAGTAGGAATACCTGATGAAGTAAAATGAAAATTAACAAATTGAAAATGAATTATTACAACCAACATGGCTATTCGTAAAGGCTACTCATTGGGTTGTTAATGAGTACCCATTAAGACTCATTTAGTTTGATTTCACCTTGCACCATCATCACCACTTCCAATCTCACCTCTATGCTATGGTGATATAAAATTAAACGGGTCTTAATGGGTACCCATAAAAAACGCAATGGGTTGATATGCCACCTCTAGCTATTGACTAATCATAAAAATTTTAAGAACAGTGCAAGGGACTAGTTCTGAACAAAACGCACCCTGACCTTCTGGAGTACGACATCTGAGATAGAATACAAACAAGAACCCAGATTAGTATCAGGAATAACACGAATACATAATTAACAAAAATCAAAAGATCACCAAAAAAAAAAACCAAAATCTCAACTTTTTGTAATTTTTATTACATCATTAAATTCAAACAACCAGATTCTCACATACCATCATAACGCAACAATTAATAACCAGTTTCAGCAACGAAAATGTATTAAAAAAAAAATCAAAGATTCCTAAATTTCTCATAAATTAATATCAAATCGCATCGGAATTAGCGTCTACAATACCACAAACGTTAGTTTTCTAGATAAATAGACGTCGCTTATTTAAAAACAAAAATTAATACTTAAAAACGATCGCCAACAAAATATAACAGAAGAATAGGTGTAAATTTATACCAACAACAATAAATTGAATAATTGAATGAGAAAATCTAATTGCCTACAAGTACAACTATCATCAGATCAGTGAAGACGAAACACCGCGAGGGAACGAAGGCTTACCGTAGCAATCACAGGCAGAGATTAATCACTCTTCACCTTCCTAAATCAACGATCAATCTCTCGCCTTCTCCTCTCGCTCTGTGGGGAATCGCTTTGTCTGAGAACAGGAATGATTGGTGAAACCCGAGCGGCGAAAACCGAAGGCATTATATAAGGAAGGAACACGTAGGAGAAGTTTCTGGAGCACCGGACGCCAAACCACATTAAAATACAATTTAATTTACGTACGGTGCCAACTTATGCCACGTGCTGACCAGTGATGGTTTTGGTAAAATTGGTAATTACCACCAACTTCTTCAGCTCGTAATCGCTTTCGCAAGTAGCAATTTATTAGAAACATTTTGAAATCCGAGTATTTCCAAATAAGATATTAAAATTGTTACATAGGTATATACCAGTGAAAAAATAACAGCAAAATTTATTCAAATGAGCCTTTAGTTTTTTTAGGTGGTGCTAAGTCATTTAAAAGCAAAGTCTTTTGCTGTCAAATTTGACAGCAGATGTTAAATTTATTAAATGATATTTTAATAAATTAATAGAATATATAATAAATATTGTTTTATTTTTGAAATATTTAATTGGTTGCTTTAATCATTAGACTCCACAAAAAGATAAAAAATTTATTAAATGATATTATTATTTGACATATTTGGTGAAATAAAATATTGTACAAAATGTCAAATTGCCACATAAGCTATCAACTATCATTTTGATTTTTAAAATTTAACATCTCCTTTAAAGATACTCTAAGAAATTTGATTACATTTTGCGTCAAAGATTTTTATGGTCACTGTGAGTATTTTCAAACAAAAATATTATTTTTATTAATATTTGCATATGTACTATTTTTTTAATAGTGAAAGGACTGCTTTGGTCGGTCCTATTTTTATTAAAAAAATGTTACAAATGATGAATAAATAATTAAATATGTGATAAGTGTAACTCATTTTAAAAAATATGTTAAAATGTCAACATTAAACATAATAGTAAAAAAAACTAATATTAGTATTTTCCAACAAAAATATCAAATTTATGTGGTATGGCATGGATTCCTCGCAAATGTAGTTGGTCAATAAATTAAGGTGCTATATAAATTTTTAAATTTTAATTTTGTGTTTAAAATTTGATATTTCAAGAAACTTTTTAGTGTGCTTAAAACATGCATGGTACAATAATTTTTTTTTTTTAAATAAACGATATTATTTACATTAAGGTGGAGAAGTGAGCTAAGCTTTACAATGTGCTAGTAATAACGTAGTTCAAATTCGTCTTTAGCGAGTGGTATGATAAATTTTTGGAGAAATGTGGAATGATAAATTTTGTAATCAAATACCCACAACAAAAGTTAATTAAAAACAAAAAAAACAAAAAAAAGGTTTATCACAAATGGTCAATGTGGTCTTTGACATTCACCATCCATCAATTTGGTCATTCCGTTAAGATTCTGTCAACTACTCTGTTAGTTTGTACGTGGGACCCACAAATCCAATGAAATGGTGACACATGGATTACACAAAATAAGGGTTTTTATCGCAAATAGTCCCTGACATTGATCAAACTCCTCATTTTGGTCATTGAGTTTCAAAAATCAATAAATTTCATAACTTTTACTACCGCACATCAATTTAGTCATTTCGTTAAAATTTCATCAATATTTTTCATTGTATGCTAATGTGATCCCACTAATTCATTAACTAAAAGAAACTATTTTTTTTAAGAGTGAACCAACAGAAAAGTATTCTACATTGACATTTTTCTCGCATCCCACATCCCCAGTTGGAAAACAATTCAATCTAGATTTGATAAAATCGAATCCAAATTCAATTCAAATTTGATGGGACTATAACCAACTACAAAGAATGAGGAGTGAGTTCAAGAGGCCAAGTATTCTAGTGGTTTTATGGTACCTTCTTTTTCTTTTTTAGCATACCTTATGAAGATGACAATGACTTTATTTTTCTTTTAGTTTTGATTTTTAGTTTCTTATTTTACTTTTAGTTTTCAATTAAAAAAAATAATCCACGTCGCGCCATATGATTGGATTAGTGGGACAAAAAATATTAACGAACTTTTAATGGAATAATTAAATTGACGTGTGGTATTGAAAGTCAAGGACTAGATTGATCGATTTCTGAAACTCAATGACCAAAATGAGGAGTTAAATCAATGTAAAGGACCATTTACGATAAAAACCTTATTTTATGTAATCCACATGTCACCATTGCATTGAATTTGTGGGTCATACATACAATCTAACAAAATAGTTGACAGAATCTTGACGCAAAGACCAAATTAACGTAGGGTAGTGAATGTCAGGAATGATATTGATTGATTTTGAAAGTGTGGGACCAAAACGATGAGTTTGATCAATCTCAATGACCATTTGCGATAAAAAAAAATAAAAAATAAAACGGTTGATAGTTGATACCAAAGGCAATGAAAAAGTGACAACGATGACATTTCTTTGAGTTCTTTCGACAACCCATCAAACAAAACCTGCCAAAAACTAAACCCTTCGGAATCGGAATAAAAAAAATCAAGAGTGTTCAAAAGGTTTTTTTAACCCCCAAAACACTCCAACCCTAAAGCCTAAAACATGGATCTAATAGAAGCCGTGAATGGGCTCTCATTCTGGATTGGATTCTCTGGCCACAGTGGCCATCTCTGGCTTGAGCCCCTCTCCACTGTTGAAAGCTCCAACCCTGCCAAGTCTTTCCCTAATTTCATTATGGTCAGTTCTCTCCTTCCACTTTGCAATTCCGCTGCCAATTTTGTTTTCTTCTAGGGTTTGCCTTTGCAAAGTCACTCCCTTTTACTTCTTAATTTGCATAAATTGGATGCCATTATGTTTCATTGTTGAATTGTTGTGTTGGATTTTGGTATAAGTGCATTTGGAAACTGAATTGTAATGTGAAGAGTGTAAGTTTGAAAGCTTGAATGCTTCAATGGCAAGCAACCAAAGGTTGGTTGCAAAATTTGTTTCCGGAAACTGAAGACTAGGAAAGTGTTTTCAATTTGGTGTGAGTGAGATCAAATCTTGATGATTTGGATAAATTCGACTCTATCTAAAGATCATTTTCCTTGGACTATTGGAATGGATGAATGCAGATTTACGTGGCTTTCTTTCGTAAAACATTTTGCTAGAGCTTATCGCACATACATTCATAGTCTTCGTGCTAAGATTCAAACGATCAAAAAAGGTGATTCTTTGATGACTAATTACCTCAATTCACTTAAAGAAATTTCTGACAAATTGGCTGTTGTGGGTGAACCGATTTCTAAGTCTGATTTGGTAGCCTATATTCTATCTGGTCTCCCTGATGATTATAAATCATTTGTTGATTCCATTGAAACCAGAGATGAACCTTTTACTTCTAATGAACTCCATGGTTTACTTTTGAGCAAGGAAATTTCCTTTCAAAAGCGTAAAACTCGATTAACTGCATCCAATGTATCTACTCTATTTCATGCTTATGTTGCCCAATCCTCTAATAATTATGGTCATAACTCTGGATTCTGAGAGAATTATCGAGGTCGCAGCTAGAATCGTACCAAATTCAATCAAAATCACAATTTTGGGGGAAATCGCTCTACTAACCAAATTGGTGGAATTCTTGGTGTTGGTCCATCTTGATCTGATGGTTTTTAGTTTGGTCAATCATCTTTCTTATCTGGGAAATCAATTCCATGCCAGCTTTGTAACTAGCATGGTCATCAAGTTCTTCATTGTGGGCATCCTCTTCATCTTAAACAAGCCCCTAGAGCTTAGCATGAAGCCTTTTCTAGAGCTATTCTTTCCTTGGGTTCCTCTCCATCTTCTTCAGTTACTAGCTTATTCATCAAGAAAGACACAACTATCATCTTCATGTAACATCCCACATCGCCCAGGGGAGTGGATCCTGTAAGCCTTATACGTATATTCTCATATTTACCTAACACGAGACATTTTGGGAGCTCACTGGCTTCGAATTCTATCGGAACTTCGAAGTTAAGCGAGTTTGCACGAGAGCAATCCCAGAATGGGTGACCCACTGGGAAGTTTTTGTGTGAATTCCCAAAAACAAAACCATAAGGGCGTGGTTGAGGCCTAAAGCGGACAATATCGTGCGATGGTAGAGTCGAGTCCGGGATATGGTGGGGGCCCTAGAGGGGATGTGACAATTTGGTATCAGAGCCAATCCCTGGCCGGAAGTATGCTAACGAGGACGTCGGGCCCCTAAGGGGGTAGATTGTAACATCCCACATCGCCTATGTATATTCTCATCTCTACCTAGCACGAGACCTTTTAGGAGCTCACTGGTTTCGGGTTCCATCGGAACTTTGAAGTTAAGTGAGTTCGCGCGAGAGCAGTCCTAGGATGTGTGACTTATTGGGAAGTTCTTGTGTGAGTTCCTAGAAACAAAACCGTGAGGGCGTGGTTGGGGCCCAAAGCGGACAATATTATGCTATGATGGAGTCGAACCCGGAATATGATGGGGGCCCAGGCTGGGATGTGACATTCATCTTGGTTTATGTTGATGATATAATCATCACAAGTAGCTCATCTTTAGTATACCAAACCATTATTTCTCAACCACAACCTATGTTTCCTATTAAAGATCTTGGTGATATTCAATATTTTTTGGGAATTGAAGTGCAAAGGTCTTCCAAAGGCTTATTTCTTCATCAGTCTAAGTATGCTTTGGATTTGCTCAAGAAAACTAATATGTTAGGTGTTAAACCATGCAACACTCTAGTTAATTATTCTAAACTGGATCACTCTAGTACTTTACTTCCAGATCCTACTTCCTACATGTCCACTATTGGTGCATTGCAGTACCTTACCAGGATTTGACCTGATCTAGCTTTTGTAGTGAATCAAGTCTGTCAACATATGCAGGCTCCAAAAACCATACATTTGCAAGCTGTAAAGCATATCTTACGATATCTCAAAGGTACCATTGACCAGGACTATGGTTTACAAAAGGTGCTCAACATCTCACAGCTTAGTCCGATGATGATTGGGTTGGCTACCTTGTTGACAAACGCTCTACAAGTAGATATTGTGTGTTTTTGGGATCGAATTTGGTGTCTTGGAGTGCTAAGAAACAAAACGCAATGGCTAAGTCATCCATTGAGGCAGAATACAGGTCTCTTGC